CCATGAAGCCCTGTCCATTAGTTCATTTTGATGTCTGCGATGTGATGCATTTAGAGGCCAGCAAGGCAGCCTTAACCTGAATTCAACATTTTCATTCATGCATGTAGATGGATTTGCAGCAGCAAAGATCTGCCATGGCTTCTTCAGCTGCTGCCATGGTAGTTGTCATGGTTGCCCTTGTTTCATCCAAATTGAAAAGGCGTAGAGGGGAGGATGAGCTCATTACTTATGGCCCTAGGTTAGAAGCAGATGAGCACAACGAGAAGAACCTTTCTCTCATTTACAAATCAACTGATGCTGAGTGTATAGCCATGCTTAGGATGTGTAAAGCACCTTTTTTTGCACTGTGCAACTTGTTTAGGGAGAGGGATTTAGTTCTGGACATAATTAATTCCTCAGTTGAGGAACAAGTTGCCATGTTTCTCCATGTGGTTGGGCACAATCAGAGGTTTAGAGTTGTCCATCAAAGCTTTAGGAGATCTATAGAGACAGTTAGCAGACACTTCCACCAGGTTCTATATGCTATATGCTGTTGGGGAACTAAGGGCTGAGATGATCAAACCACCAACTGGTTCAATTCATCTCAAAATCTTGGGTAGTCATAGGTGGAACCCTTTTTTCAAGGTAACTATTGTTTACCTAGGTTACATTATCTTGGGTTTGGAGTCTTATTTACATAAGAGTTCTTATGTTTCATTATGACTCATAGGATTGCATAGGTGCAATTGATAGCACCCATGTGTTGGCAAGGGTGCCCAGGCACATGCAGGGGCCCTTCAGGGGTAGGAAAGGCAGTTGTACACACAATGTGATGGCATCTGTTGATTTTGATCTCAAGTTCACATATGTTTTGGCTGGGTGGGAGGGGTCTGCTCATGATGCATTGGTTCTAGCTGATGCCATAGAGAGAGATGGGGGGCTGAGTGTTCTTGAAGGTAACATCATTACCCATAGCTGCCTATTTCATCTTAAACCATAAAATTCTATCTTGTAAGCCAATCCACCACTGTCTTGTAGGGAAATTCTATCTAGTGGATGCTGGTTATGCTTGTAGACCTGGGTTCCTGCCTCCTTACAGGGTTGTGAGGTATCACCTGTCTGAGTATGATCCTAGGCATAACCCTACTAGTTGTACAACCTGAGACACAGCTCCCTTAGGACCATTGAGAGGGCCTTTGTTGCTCTCAAGAACCGTGTTCGAATCCTCGATAACAAGCCATTTCATAAGTACAAGACACAAGTGAAGCTGGTTCAGGCCTGCTGCATCTTACATAATTGATCCTAGGGTTTTGGGTTGATGAAGTAGTACCAACTGAAGCAGAGTGGGTTGCAAACCCTGTTTCTTCTTCTTCTACTGGTCTAGCTGTCAATGCTTTGTAGACACAAGAGGTGCCTACCATGGCATCAGTTAGGGATGCAATCTCTGATGCCATGTGGAATTCTAGGGGGCAAATAGGACCTAGCTGTGCATTTCATGTCCTGATAATTAATGTAATAAGATAAGGCTGCCTTGTATGGAACTAATGTTGCATTGTTGGACTTATGTAATATTTCCTTTGTGGACACCAGCTGAGACCAATTATTCTATGTTCCAAATCTGTTGTTCTCCTGCTATTCCATATTATGTGCTTGGTTCATGACAAGTGTGGTGTACATGGAACTTAGATGGCTGAGAATGGTGCTGCTGGTGGTGCTGGGTTTGTCAATGCATCTGCAATGCTGCCTGGTGGGTCTGCCTTTGCCCCAGCTGCTGCTGCTAGTGGTGCTCCTCCTGCTGCTGCTCTTGTTGCTGATGATGTGCATGTTGTTGCTGGTGCTGTTGGTGATGTGTTGGTGCTGGTGCAGCAGCTAGACCACCGATGAAGTGGACATCCAACACTAGTGGCTTTGTCCTTAGGAGGATGAAGCAACTCATTGAGAGTGGGGCTAGAGCTGATAAGGGATTTAAGGACAAGGAGGTGAACCAGGTAGGCAAACAACTGAGAGAGTATTGTGGTGAGGAAGTGTCCTCCACCCAAGTGGACAACCACTTGAGGAAATGGAGACAGAGGTGGGGTAGGATCAGCAAGCTTAAGGACCTTAGTGGAGCCCTATGGGATGAGGAAGTGAGGGCAATCATGCTAGATCCTGAGCATTACATTGGACATATCAAGGTACTTGGTACTTAGTAAACTTCCTCTCTTCTCCTCTATCCTCATCTCTGCCTCAACTAACTGCCTAGGAAATACTAAATGCAGGACCATCCCAAAGATGCTGAGCTTCTAAACACCCCTCTGAGGTTCTATGATGAGATGCATGCTATCTTTGGTAGTGGCATGGCCACTGGTAGGTTTGCTGTTGGGTCAAATGAGGCCTTAGGTGTGAACTCTTACCAAGCTGACAGTGGTCTATGAAAGGTGGAAGGCCCACTAGGTAACCACAAGGGTGTGGAGAAGAATGAGCAGGGGGAAAGCAGCAAGGCAGCTGAGCTGCTTACCTCTGATGGTGGTAGGAAGAGGAAGACGACCTATTTTAGTGAGGAGGAGGTCCTCATCATGACCAACATGACAGATGCAGTTAACAATGTAGCCAATGCCTTTAGGGAGACTGGCCCTGCTCAAGTGGATGTTGACTTGTATCATGCTGTGATGGGCATGCCTGGCTTTTCTGAGGAAGCCCTCATTGTTGCCTTCTCCCACCTTCTGGACAACAAAGCACATGCCACTTCTTATGTCAACATGATTGACAGTCACAGGGTTCTGTGGCTAAGGACCTACCTTGCCAAGCACTACTACATGTAGATGGTCTAGGGCCTGCCCTGGACTTGGAGGGAAGTAGTTGAGGATTATATATATGCAGTTCCTCCACCCTCCACCACTCTCTTTGACTAACTTTTGCCTACTTTTGCTCCTATGTTCTAGCTATGCAGCACTGATGGCCTAACACACTACTTTTGGGTTTGTGGTTCTTTTATGATTGAGGAGGTGGGTAACTATAGCTAGCATGTAATGGGAACTTATGTGGGGACGCTCCATGGACCCTTGGCTGTTGAACTATTGAACCATTTGGTGGCTGCATGCCATGTAATTTGTAATGTAATCAGTTGGACCTAGTGTTTTTTTCTGGTATTCTTGCTGGTTTCTTGCTGTTTTGTTGATTCTAATGTTTGAGGCCAATGATGACAATTATTTATACAGGTGGCGCTGCTTATGATCTGGTGAATGTGGTTCTCATGGCTGTCATTGAACCGTGAGATACATCCATACCCATGCAACAACTCTTTCTATTCTTTGCTGATGGCTCGGGTTGGATGTGTCTCACGATTCCATGGCTGTCATGAACTAATTTTGACTGCCAAGGTTTCCTACTGCTTAAGGCCAATGATGACACAATGTTATGTTATAGAGATGGCACTGCTTATGCTTCTATCTTTGTGCTGGTTTTTTGGTTCTCATGGCTATCATCAAAACATGTGAGACGTCCATACCCAAGTAACTGCTCTCACAGATGCTCTGATGGCTTGGGTTGGATGTCTCTCATGCTTCCATGGCTGTCATGACCTTGGTTTTCTATTGTCTACATTTGGCTTCTCCAGGAAAACAAACACGCCCTCCTCTATTTTGTTCTATTTGATACTTCAGCAGTGCCACCGGTGACCCTTATAAGAATGTATTGAATCATGATAAAGTCTGAGACCACATACTTTTTTTTTTGCCTATGATGCAATACATGAATAGCTGAGGCATTTGTACAGCTGCCTGTGATGTCTACTGCACCTTGACCATGTGTATTCCAACGGTTTGTTTCTTGAGTTTGTCTACCACTTCAACTGAACTAGACAGCCTCATTGAACAAACTAGTGTATTGCACCTGAAACATTTTTTACTGAGGCTTTGTTGCTTTTAAACTGCAGAACAATGTGTGCTTGGTATGTTGTTTTCAAGGGAAAGCAACCTGGTGTGTACACCAGTTGGGCTGAGTGCAATGAGTATGTCCTGGGTTATAGTGGATCTGTGCATAAGTACAACTCTTATGACGAAGCAATGGCTGCTTTCAACTCAACAATCAACTCAACCTCTACTTCTTCCTCTGCTATCAGTTACAAGACAGTGGTGATTTTTTTCCTTTGTGCTCTGGTGTGTGCGATGTGGATCAAGTTGAAGAAGTGCAATGGCTACAACATTTAGTTAGTAATTGTAATATCAAATTTATGATGTTGTAATGATACTGCTAAGTACCTGAACTCTGCTCTATTTAGCTTCATTGTCCATTCATAATTGTGTTGTGGTACCTGCTCTTATCATGTGTGCTTGCTATTCCATTGAAATGCATCTGGTGTTGGCGGTTGCTGTCCAGGCAAACAAACACCGTCCCAACTAGACAGTTGGGAGGTAGTTGGGATTCCTGACAACCGGCCCAGGCAAACAAACACAATCTCCCAGCAGCCAGACCCAGACGGGAAGAGTGACCAAACAAGCTGCATTGCAGCAGTTGGGCCTGCATCCCTGGACCCAGCCTGGCTCCCCGCGTCCAGGCAGACAAACACGCCCTATATCGCTTAATTCGACAATAAGCTCTTTTGTTCAAGGCCTGGAAGCAACTGACCCAGATGAAGTCTATGATTTTAGCACCTTTCAGCGATCGAGAAACAAAGCTAAGAGACAAAAATGTAAAATCAGAGAAGCAAACAATGATAGGGAAACTTTTTCTTGGTGAAGAGATTGGAGCAGCGTATAGTACAAGTTATACTTTGGATACAAGCAATAAAAAATTGGCCATGCTATCAATGAGACAGCTTATACGTACGGACTGAAGGCAGCATGGCATAGAACATTGTTGTCAGGAATGTGTCTGTACATTACATGGAGCCCGCGACTCTGAGGCGTGCTGGAATGATTTGGGTTACTTCATCATCTTTGTTTCGATCAGCAACCTGCGGGAAGTTACTATGTTTCATACAGCAGGACATGAAACAATTCAAGACTACCATCCAAGTGGAAGTAGCTGCTAGTACCTTTTCATCACAACGGAGGGTAGAAGTAGGATGAAACAGAAAACCCTAAGAAGAGAACACCTCCAATTGTTGCTACTGTTTGCTGCGAAATCTTTGATGCCAACATGCTCCCTCCTACCACAGCAAGAGATGTGCACACTGTGTGCCCCAATGATGCTCCGACTGCAACTCCAATTGCATTCTTGTGTGTTGCCAGCTGCATGGTGATAACAGAAGTAAAGAAACTTTGTAAGATACAGATTTTTGCTTATGAATGTGCAAGTTCCTATAGTATCACAGCCCTCGATGAAAAATACAACGTTCGATACATCAAAGAATTTCAGTAAGTGGAGCAGTATCCTACCGCAATTGTTGCTATTTGGCTTCGGTCACCCCATTCAGCTAAGAAGGTTAAGATGAAAGCCTGCAACCAGAATAAAGAGTTAAAATGTTAAACCCAAGGTGTCTCATAATGAGTCACATATCACAGGTACACAATACATTTGTTATGGACTGACTTATACAGAAGCAACAGAAGCATCTGACACACTTCCATAAGGTAACAAACTAACCTCCAAAAAGATTGGTGTACAAAATCTTGCAAAGAACCTACGGATGGTTGATTTTCCTTGACCAGACTCAAGCTTCTCTTCTACCTGCTCACACATGCATATATGTCATTCATTCATAACTAAAAGTACATCAAAGATATGTAGCACTTTTGAGAGCATACATTGAAGTTTAAAAGCAAGGTATAACCATATAGTTTTCCAGTTGTGCAAATTAATGGACCTTTTACATTACCTTATTTTCATCAATAGCTTTTACCGATAGTTCATATGCCTGCACCTCAGTTCATACAGCTGCTAGTTTTTACAGAGTACAGGTATCATGCTCTTACTTTAGCATAAGAACCGGCAAGAAACTGTTCCTGCTTATCATAAAACTTGTACTGATACTTTCGAGTGATTAATGGTGGGCTCAATAATGTTTTCCTTTAAACATAAGTGAACTTGTACTTCAAGTACTTCAAGATTCCACAAGAAACCAATGATGGTTTCTATTTTAGTACATTGGACTACCTCCCTCAGTCTCTCTTTTGCTTCTCATTCTAGAATGCACACATTCAACCTTCCAGTACTTTGACCATACACAAAATTATTTTAGGAGTACCCACATGATATTGATATTAGTAGATGGCAAAATGTCCAAAACAGCAGGTAAACAAGGAAAGATGTAATGGACTAGCAAGTAGAACCAAACACCAAAACAATAATGGACATTTTCCAAGCCCCCCATGTTCAGAACAAGAACATGTCATACAATACAACAAATGAGCCGCAATACGCATAAGCAAAGGCTATACTGGAAAAAGGACACGTACTTCTTCCATTTCCTTCTTCTGGGATCCCTTTGGGTCAGATTTCCAAGCAATATACAGCAACCGTAGTCCAAAGAACAAGTACAAAACTGGCAGGTAAACAAATTTGAGAGGTCACTCATGAGCAATGGCAAGGACATGTCAGTGTGCCAAATTATTTCAAATGCAAACATGGCAATTCCAGCTACTAGGACTACCAGTGTATCCTAACTCCCATGCCCATGCCCTGATGCCCGAAAATCACTCAAGTTGCAAAGCCTTTAGAGTCAAACTAATGGTTGGTGTTTCAAATACTTAATACTGCTTTTAACATCAATCATTAGCGTGTCTCAGTACATTTTCAGTTCAAATAAAATAATTCCAGCATCTCCACATAAGTGGAACAGGTTTCAGATAGCCTGTCTTCAGTTCAAGTGGGAAGAATTTATTTATCATCACAATAATATTAAGGGAAATGATCAAATGAAGGATCAAGGATTTTTTTTTCAGGCAGGATCTTGAATGAATTGAGTTGTGCATGTTAGCCCAAGAATATCACCATTCTTTCCATATAATTTGGGGGAAGTATAATCATCTTTTTCTCACCCCAGATAACACAAAACTTGCATAATACTTGCATCAGTAATATACAATATAACTGCCAACATGATGATATGAAAAGCATTCACAACTAAAAGAACATAAGTACCTGTAGCAGCACTATTAGTGTGCTTCCTTGATATCAAGTTGGGCACTATTCTACCAAGTCCAGTTGATAATACCTTGTTGGGGGGGAACGAAATATGTAAGCAGCATAGAGAATCGAAATACTTTGCGGCAACAGCTTAGACAAATAAAAACTAAGGAGTTGGCATACATGAAACTAAATACTAGCACAAGCACCAAAGTTAAATGGAACATAGCAATAACGCCCTTAAGATATGGACAGTGCAAACCTCTATATTGAGCATCAGATAGATTTATATCTGAACCTAGACATTGTTACATACCAAGGGCATAAAAGAAACAAGTAGATCAAACTAGTTAAGACATAAGTGGCATTAGAAAATGCATCCTTTTAATTCTAACTTGTATCAGATACTCCCATATTGATTTTGCATTGTGTAGCACATAAGCAACAGGAATTACTATAGATAAAGAGCAATTAAATAGCTCACCGTCATCACGTAAAGTGCAGATAGTGCACCAGACAACACAATTGACTTGGGGTGCCGCATCGCCATCAGCGCAGCAATGATAAAGGTCTCATCTCCAATCTACATCACCACAGAAGAAAATTTTGAACAGCTTGTTAAGCCCGTGCTGTGGCACCACCATCGAAGGCACAGCCACACATCCAAATCTCACAGCCAAGGCAATGCAGTAGGACAGCAGCTACACAGAGGCCATTTCCCAATCTCAAATCTTCCCTAGCTCACACCACTAATCAGTACCTCACTGACTAGTATCATGGAGAGGCTGGCGAAGAGCGCATCGAACAGCCCCGGTCCAACCTCGTCAAGGGCCACCCCATGATCGCCCTCCACCAGTGCGTCCTTCTTCTTCAGGCCGTGCAAGAAGCCCTGCGAAAACGGCACCACCAGCGCCAATCAGACATCAAAATTGACAAATTTGACACCAAAACGACATCCTCAATCGGACAGAGTTCTTGCTACGCGAAGTAATCGGGATTTCTCACCCCAGCGCGCCGGCCCAGAGAGATCCCCGACGCGTCGTCCTCGGCGCCCGCCGCCTGCACGATACACGCAGAAGACCCTCATCAATCTTGCCAGTGAACAAGCTGGATTCAAAGAACCTTGAACCCAAAGATCCAAACTTTGCTCGGGCCAGGTCTTTACCACGGATGCGCCGAGCGCGAGGACGATGACGGCGAGGAGAAGGGGAGCTCTAGGGTTCGGATCCATCCTGGGGCTGGATCTCACGAACCCTAGGTCCTGGGAACGCTCTCAGATTGGGGAGAGCGGTGAGACGGGATGGCAGATTCCTCCCTCGAATTACCCGTCGTTCATGTGTTTCCTTCTGATTTCAGAAGCTGTGGAAGAAGCTGCGAGCGGCGGCGGGGACCGGCCGAGAGCAGCGCGAGGAGGAGGAGGAGGGGAGCGCGGGCACGGCAGCCGCGAAGAGGAGGGGCGGCCGCGGGATTTTGACGAGGCGGGCAGCGACGGGGAAGAAGAGACCCTGCTGGAGAGAGAAAAGAAAACAAAATAATAAAAGCTGCAATGACATGTGGGTCCTACGTATTCGGGAAGTGTATTTGTGAGCATTCTCCCAAATAAAAAGAGTAATATTAGTGACCAATATCAATCTATGATGAGCTGGGGAAGATGCTCTGAAGAGATTTGATAGCTACGGAAGGATATGATGGTCGTTTTTTTTTTTGTCACGGAAACATGTCGACGAACCTTTCATGCTCTGTCTCAAACGATTATTAAGTGGTCAATGAAGTATATATAAATGAATGAAAGTGGAAGAATGCATACATATAAGGTAGGAAGACTATCGAGTTACTTGGATTGGTGGCATTAGCAGCGATGTTTCTATGAAAAGAGAAGAAGTGAATTTCACACCAAAATCAAATCATTGAAGGTTTCAAATGAGTTTTATTCTTATCTAATGTTGCTCCACATTAGTAAATTTGTTGAGTTGACAGGTGAATAGTCATTTCTAAATTTAATCGTGCCGGCTAACCGAAACAAATGTGGAATTAAAACAATCGGTCTAGCCAAAACTACATCCCTCTATCTATGTTCTCTAGCACATTGCAAAGATCTTAATTAAGCAACTAAGGTGCCAAGCTAGCTAGAGCTCACCTATAGAATTTTAGGAGTAAGGTCACACAAACCTATGCCACTAATAATTTGCACACCGGAGAGCTCCTATACAATTCTAGTAAGCAAAAACACAAAGCTCCTAAGCTCACTAGCAATGCTCAATAACAAGGCAACCAATGCCAAATTAGAGAGCGCAAATACTTAGCTACACAAACTAAGTAATATGACTAACAATATTACACAAACGAATTAGCCACGCAAGGGAGCTACTTTTATGCTACACAAGCAAGAAGATAACTAGTGAGCTACACAAGTTAACTATCTACAAGAGCAACTACACAAGCACAATATATATGAAAGTAATTACAAGCTTGTGTAAGGGGATTGCAAACCAACGGGAAGAACAATGTTGAAACGGTGATTTTTTCCTGAGGTTTACGTGCTTGTCAACACGCTACATCCCCGTTGTGCCGACCGCTCACTTGGTGGTTTGGCGGCTAATTGCCATCACCTGCCAAGCCCGCACGTCGGGCACCACAAGAAACTACCTCGAAAGTGAGAGTAGCTCAATGACACGCTCAACTAGAGTTGCTTTTCGCGGCTCCCGCGGGGCGAGCATAATGCCCCTCACAAAGCTCTTCTCCGGAGAACCGCACAAGCTTCTTGCGGGCTTCGACGGAGACCACCACCAAGCCGTCTAGGAGGTGGCAACCTCTAAGAGTAACAAGCACCACCGGCTTACAAGACAACCACCTAGTGCCACTCGTTGCAACCTCATGATGCAATCGCACTAGAATCGCTCACTCACTCGATCGGATGAACACTATCAAGCTAGAGTGAGTTAGAGGGCTCCCAAGCACTACCACATAAGCCACCAAGGCTCTAGTGTGCTCAGCTCTACTAAGCTATTAGCCAAAGGCCGACCAACCCTTCTATTTATAGCCCTATAGGCTAAAATAGCCGTTACCTCTTCATTGGGTAAAAATCATAGCGACCGGACGCGCCAGTTGAATCGACCGGATAGACCCTGCCAGCGTTCGGTCAACGGATGGCTACCACGTCATCCCTGGCTTCAAATATTGAGCGCTCGATCTCAACGGTTAAGTTGCGACCGGACGCACCACGAGGATGACCGGACACTGCTATGCCTGAGTCCGGTCATTTCTAGAGAGCTCCCCGAGCCTCTGTTTTACGACCGGACGCATCCGCTCCTGCATGACCGGACGCAGACTAGCCAGAGTCCGGTCGTTTCCAGAGAGCTCCCCGAGCCTCTGTTTTGCGACCGGACGTGTCCGCTCCTAAACGACCGGACGCAGCACCTGAGTTCGATCATTCTCCGACTGCCACTCGTCACTGCTGTTCCTCATGCCACCACGTGAGCGTACGTCAGCACTGACCGGACGCAGCCTCAGCGCGTCCGGTCACTTCTTCATGCCAGCATCCGGTCACATGACCGAGACCTTGCGCTCAACTGCTGCCATTGACCGGACGTGCCGGTCCTGCCGAGGCCAGCGTCCGGTCACTCACAGTGACCTCTTTTCGCCTCCGTTTCTTCACCGAGTTGATCCATTTCAATTCCAACTCCTTTTTCTTTGCAAATGTGCCAACACCACCAAGTGTACACCACCATGTGTATGTGTGTTAGCTTTTCACAAACATTTTTTAAGGAGTTAGCCACTCAACTTGCCACGCCACTCGATCCTAGCGATGATGTAAAGTTAGATCACTCTAGTGGCACTAGATGACCGATATGCAAACAAGTTTCCCCCTTTTGATAGTACAACCATCTATCCTACACCCAGTCATCAACTTCTCTACACACCTATGACCAGTAAAATAAAATGCCCTAGGTTATACCTTTGCCTTGTGCATTCCATTCTATCTCTTTCAATGTCGATGCAACACATGCACCAACATGACCAACAATGATATGATCCACTTCATATCATCATGTGATCATATTGGTTCATCGATCTTGACTTCACTTGCTTTTCACCGTTGCCTTCGTCCATCGACGTCAAGTCTTGCTCAAGCTTCAGCGCCACGCGGTCCATCGTTCCAAAGCCTCTGACTTGTCCTTCACTCTTGTAACCGGTCCATCAAGCCAAGTCTTGTCTTGATCTTTTCCACCTTGATCAGATGACTTAATGTCATGTCTCATGTGTAATGAGCTCCTTCATCATCACATGTGTGAGTTTTGCAAGATCTCCGAGACATTTCCACCTTTATGGCATATGTTGCTCACACACATGTACCTGTGGATTAATCACCTGTGTATCTCCCATAAACACAATTAGTCCACCTAGGTTATCACTCAATTACTATAGGGGATATGACCCCGGATACCCATGGCAGACCACATGGGCTACACCCCTAGGGGTGGCCCAGCCCACAAGACGAAGCCTTGCAGAGCACGACGCTGCTCGGCGTGTCCCGCAAGACACCTAGAAGATATCCTAAAGATACTACGAGATCTGTTAGGATACGTATGATCCCATGATTCCTGTAATCTGTTATTACTTTACGGTTATCTCCTAGATCTAACCGACTTGTAACTCTGCCCCCAACTATATAAGGCGGGTAGGGACCCCCTCCAAACACACACAATATCATACGATAGACAATACAATCCAATAGACCACAGGAATAGGGTATTACGTCACGCTGACGGTCCAAACCTGTCTAACTCTTGTGTCTCTGTTGCCTTCTTGTTCTCGATTACACGTATCTCTGCCGATCAATCTACCTTCATGGGATACCCCTCGGAGGACTACCGATGATATTCTGTCGATAGTTGGCGCGCTAGGTAGGGGTGTGCATGCTATTTCCATGTCGAACAAGATGATACATTTTGCAGGCTCTTTGTCCTTCCCACAGCCTAGCCAGATCTTCACGGTCGGATCGATCTCCTAGATCATCAACGCTGACGGAGTCAGAGAGCTCATCGAGCCGGTGCAGATCAATACTGCGCTGATCACCCCAACACCTGCGACTGTAGATCCGATCTCGAAACCGCCTCTGAGGTCATCTTCACCGACAATTCGCCGCTCGCTCCCCCGCTATCCAAGGAGGCAAATCAACAACGATGATCTGATTGCATCCATCGATCAGGTTGGCCATAAGCTCGCCAATTGCCTCTCCATCATAGAATCGGCTCTGACCACTCTGGTCGAGCGCCGACCACCCTTTGATTTAGATCTATCGGAGGTGGATCATGAAACTCCAGGGGTTACGGCCCTACCCTTCAGGCTCACAAGCATCACCGCCACCTATCAAAGTGCCCTAAGGGGCAACTTCGCTGACCAGGTGGGAGATATCCATCCTCTCGCCGACCTGATCACCAACCAGCTCTCGCCGACTGTCAACATGCTACACGTCGGTCGATGTCCCAAAGCATCCCTCTAAACCATCCTGGAGGAAAATCCAGACTTCGAGTCCTAGGGCTCTACGGAGACCATTGCCGAAACTACCGCCATACAGCCTCCTTTCCCGCCCTTCCGTGGAGGTGGAATTTTCAATGTCAGCATCAACAGCCCTCCATGGGATGGGGAAACCGAGGAGGACCGCGCTGCTCGCGTGAACAGGAACATCAACCGTGCGTAGCACCGAGCAAATGAGGCTGCCCTTGTGCTAGCCGAGGCTGCTCGTAACGATTAGCTCAACTCGCAAGGAAGGCCACGCCCACTCCAACGCAACCTCAATGATGAATTTGTCCGTGTTGACGGCCACGACATCTACAAGACCCTGAGCACCAACTTGGACGTGGCCACCAACGAGCTCACCCGGCTCCCGCAAACACCGGTGGTCGCCAAGGTCCCTGCTATGCTTAAAGCGGCGCACTGCCAGGTCAACGAGATCCTCCAGGATCAGATACCTTCCTACTCGACGAGCTCGATTCGCTGATCCACCGCGCCAAGATCTAATCACCGCCCTAGCCAAAGTCGTTTCGCTGACCAGCACCATGATGATGGACAACCTCTCTAGGGAGAGCTAGGGGCAACCACATCGACCACCCTCGCCAACATGACCAGGACGTCCAAGCGCACATCAATAATCTTCGAGACGCACGATGTCATATCGACGAGCATTGTTTCTCTCACCACGAAGAAGAAGTACACCGTCGTCAAGAGTAT